AGACCCTTGAAGAGTTAAAGACCCTTTCCCTAAGGCCTAACCCACTACCTCATTTGTGTGTGATTTCACATGTAACACATTTTGGAGAAATCAGATACTTTGTTTCCTCTAAAAGCCCCAGAAGACAGAAGTTCCCCTTATGTTCCCATTATGTTACCCTCATGTTCCCATTATGTTTATTCCTCTTTCACTTGTACAAGGTCATAGGCTACAGAAAACCCAGTTTACAGAGAGTATTTGCACACAATTACATTTACATTTTAAATATCACTTAACCAAAAGTCAAAATATGAAGTCCACTGCCCGTGTGTGGAACAGGCTTGGAGTCCGACCTTATTCATCCAGGTGGGCTTTTCTACTACATATTAACGCTTTGGTCCAGGGAGACTAATTCAGCCTGTCAGGCCTCCCATCACATCCACGGGAAGACTCCTTGTCCTCACTGCTCACCTTCAGCCCCTCAGGTGTCCTTGGCTGTGACACAGGTGTCGCTCCTGCCACTAGCAGGTACCCTGGCATTTATCTCTGTGTCTAAGGGTCTGCAAGGGTCTCTCCACTGAACCACAGCTGCACAAGTGTTCCCATTTATCCTGAGTGACAGGCACGTCTTCACATCTTGTTCAGCTTCCAGGAGGACACAGAGGAGCTGCCTAAGGACAGGAAAACACATTTGATAAGTAGCCTGCTTTGCCTCTCGGTTTTCTTTGTTTTCGTTGCTACTTTATTCTCTCTCTCTGTCTCCCCCCCCCCCCCCGTGTGTGTGTGCGTGTGCGTGTGTGTGTGTGTGTATGTGTGTTTGTGATACTAGAGATCATATTGAGGGACTTCACACTGAGCTACATCTCCAGCCCCACCCACCCTTTTATGAAATAGGGTCTCACCAAACTTCTAAATTGTCCAGACTGACCTCCAGCTAGCAATCCTCCTGCCTCAGCCTCCAGAAGTTCTGAGATTCCAGTGTGCACCACCACGCCCAGCTTCTTCATAAACTGACTACAGCACTGTGACTTGCACCAGAGCTCACCTGGCGAGGTAGGCTGGGGGCAGGCCCACTGGCCAAGCGCTCCTGTGGTCACCCAGTCATCACTGCTCCTATCAGGGACACAGGGCAGGTCAGGAGAACAGCACCCACCCCAAGGTGCCTAGGACCAATCCCCGTGCTGCTTCACGTGGCAGAGACTCTGCAGATGTGGTCTCGGAATTGGAATCACGGGGGAGCACCATGTTAGGTGGGCGGGGTCTGAGCAATGGCTTCTGTGCCTTCTCTCCACACTGCTTTTCTGCCCTTTCCCTCCCCTCTGAGAAGCCCCATTTCCCTGCTGCTCTGTAACCTTGAATGACCCCAGCTATGTCAACACCTCAAGTCCTGGTGCTCAGTGGTCCAGGCTCTTACAGGCATTTCCAGTCTGTGTCCTGCTGGGCCTCTCAGAGACCTAGGCTGAGCCTCTGCCAGGCTCTAGCCCTGAACTCTCCAAGGTCCTGGCCCGTTAGTCACCCAGCGCCCTCACGCCCACCTCATCCTGCCCACACCCATGCTATGTAATCGCCTTGTTTCTCCCTCCACTGCCTTTATGCCAGCCTGCTTGTCACCGTGGAGCCTGTGTTCAAACCTAACTCTGCACCCTCTTACCACAACAGCGGGCCTGAGCGCTCGGGGAAGAGGCTGCCTTTGGTGGAGTTTTTGAGGTCTACTTGGTAGAGTGTCACGTCATCTGCAAATAGTGGTCATTTAGCTTCTTGCTCCTGTCCTTGTTCCTGTTACTGCTCCCTCTTATCTAATTGCTCTGGCTAATACTCCAGAACTACATCCAGCAGGAGGGGTGGCAGTGGGTTCTTGTCTTGCTCTTGGTTTTAGAGCAAAAACTTTCAGCTTTTGACCACTTACTATGATGTTAGCAGTTGGCTTTTCACAGCTGCCTTTTATCAGATTGAGATAAAGATCATCTATTCTGACTTCCTGTAGAGTTTTTTAAAATCATGAATGGATATTGGACTTTATCGAATATTTTTCTGCATCTATTGAGAAATCATGTGAGTTTTGTCCTTGGCCCTTTTAATATGGCATAATAAATTTCTTGATTTGCATATTTTGAACCATTTCTATGTTCCTGGATGACTTCTACTTGGTCATGGTATGTAATGTTTTGGATGATTGGCTGCATCCTGTTTGTCAGAATCTTACTGAAGATTTTTGTATTTATATTCATTAGAAAAATTGACTTGTAGTCCTTGTTTTTAGTAAGATCCCTCTGATTTTGGTCCCAGGGTAATACTTTCTTGCAGGAATGATTTTGCTATATCTTTTATACCTTCTTGATTCAGTTTTGGAAATTCATCTGTGTCTAGGAATGAGTTCATCTCTGTTTTCTACCTTATTAGAGTACAGATTCTCAAAGTAAATGTCTTGGTTAGTTTTTTTAATTGCTAAGAAAAAATACTTGATGCCCAAAATAACAGGAGGAAAGGTTTATTTAGCTTACAGTGATTGGAAGTTTCAGTCCATACTCAGCTGGTTCCATGACAGGGTGTCATCATTAAGTGGCTGCAGTTCATGGAGACTGCAAATGACAAGAGCAAAAAGGAGGAAAAGCATAGCTCCTCACCTCCCTTATACTGTATGCCTGCTCCCCAGCCCTGGGCAGGTTAGCACTCACAGGGCCAACCCCATCTCTAGACAACACACCAATCACAAACACTAGACTCAATTGCCTCCATGACTGCATGAGGTTTCGGGGACACCCAGACTCAATCCATACCATTTCATCCCTGGCCCACAAAGACTTATGTACATCATTGATGTAAAATGTGACTGTGAAGCTAAAGGTATCTATTTAGTGTATCTCTAAGAGTTGCCAAACTCCTAACACTTTTTGCATTGCTGAACAGTCCAAGTCCCAAGTCTCCTCTGAGATCTAAGGCCATCTCATAGCTGTAATCCCCTGTACAAATGAAAAGAAAGTTAAACCCTGTTAACATTTAATGGTACAAGATAAATTACCATTTTAAGGAGTACAAATGGGGATACAAAGAAATGATAACAATGGAAGTCTAAAATCCAGCAGAACAAACGTTAAGTTCCGTAGTTCTGTGTGCATCGTCTGAGACATCTGTGTTGTAAGCTTCAGGGCTTGAGTGACTTCACTCCCATGGCGCTTCTGGTGGGTGCAGCTCCCACAGCTTTCTTCTTGGGCCTGCTCTGTTCAATCCTTGTAAAATTATTTTAAAAAGATGATCCATACTCCTAGCTTTTCCAGGCTATGGGGTCTCCATTGTCCTTTGGCTTTACACTCAGTTTCACACACTGCCCTTTGTGGGGCACACTGCCTGGTCTCCCAGGCTTTCTGAAATGGGGGTGGAAGTCTTTTCACCCTCAGAACTCATGCATTCTGTATGCACTTAAAACCAGCACCATGTGGATGATGCCAAGGTCTGCTGCCAGCTGGAGCAGAGGCCAGGCCTTCCTTTCGGTTGGCTGTAGGGGTGGGGTGCCTGGATTATTGAGCTCTCTGAATTTGATTGTGAGAAACTGCTTCTCTATGTCAACACCATTCTGGAACAAGGTCCTCTGCAGCTTTCTCCTCAAAACAAAGTCTTTTATTTTTGTAGTTCTGAGGTTGCAAAGCATGGGGGACCAACTGTTTCTTGTGATGTCCTACGACCATCTTTTCTATTCTCCTGTTTCTTAACAATAGAGATCTCAGCTCTATCTTTGTGGTCCACAGTTTTACTGAAGCTTTTTTCCTGGCCAAACTCATAACATTTTAACTCATTTTCTAGGGCTCTGTGCTCTTGACTTACAACATAAATCTGGCTAAAAGCCCCCAACAATAGCCATGCCATTGCCTAAACATTTGACTGCTTTAAAATTTCTTTTGTCCACTCAATTAGTCTACCACCATTAATCTTAGTCTCAGACAAAGTCTCTGGACACGAGAAAAATGCAGACAAACTTTTGCCAAGCCATAACACACATCAGCTAGAGTCCAGCAGCCAATGCAATCCTTTCCAGCAGAAACCTCCTGAGCCTGGTCTTTACCAGCAGGATTTTTATCAAGCACAGGATGTGTTCAGGGTTCTGTGCTCCCCGACCAGACCTCCAGTGGGTATGAGGGAGGCTGATGCTACAGTTTAGGTTAGATGTCCCCCAAAGGTGACTGTGTTCCAGCTGCAGCATTACTAGGAGGAGATGGGACCCTGGGACCTGTGCCTGAGGGAGATGGCGCAGTGCAGGGTGTCTCCTGGGATTACTTACCAGACCCAAATTTAGACCCACCCCATGGCTTCTCAAGGCCAGCAAAGCTTCCTGCAGATCTCCATGGAGGAGGGACCAGGAGACTATGGAGTGGCCATGGCTGTATAATGGCCAGTTGTTTGTTGGTGTAAAGTATGGGAGCCCTAAAAGTCAAGGATGGGTCCTTATGAGACAGGGGAGCAGGTACAGGAGCATTTTCAAGGAGAGAGACATTCACAACACAGTGGAATCTTCATCATCATTGTTTAAAGAACCAATCAGAAAAGTGCTATTCTGGACCAATCAGAAGATGCCATTACAATCCTTCATTTGAATCCTTCATTTGAATACTTCTGTTGGATGCCTCATTTGCATGTGGGCACAATTGATCAAAAGAATCTTTCCAATTCTTCATTTACATGTAACAGACATGTAAATGGGCATGGTGGTACATGCCTGTAAATCCAGCACTTAGGAGGTTTGTTTCAAGTTCCAGGCCAGCCTGGGCTACAATAGTGAGTTCAGGACCCCCCTGAACTACATAGTGAGACTGTGTCTCCAAAAGGGGAAAACAACAGCCAAATCAGCTTTCTCATAAAATGGTTTAAGAAGGCTGGATCCCACGTGGCTGTCTGTAGAACTTCCCTGTTGGAGGACAAGCTTTGTAAGATTTAAACTGCTGAACAAAAGTGAACCTCAGGGCCTGCCTGGCTTCCCTCCCCGGGTCCCAGTGGGTGGGGAGGCTGCCCAGAGGAGGCGAAGAGGGAAGGACTGGGTGGGCAAAGATATGTACTTCTGTGATTGCCCAGCCGCAGGAGAAAGAGCATGCAGTCTGACCTGAGCTTCTTCAGGTTTCCTTGGGATTCAGCAGATGCCAGAAGTGGGTGGAGAATTGTGGGAGAGCAGACTCAGATGTCGCAACACCGGATCAACTAAATAAACATTACCAAAGCGTTTGCGAAACACTTTGAGACTTCTGTGATCTGCAGAGTAGTCCTTATAGGATTGTTCTTTGAGATAATGCAGGACCAACAACATTTGATCTTACCAGTTATTTGAAAGATCCAAATAGTAGTCACAGAAAACAAATTAAAGAACCGAGTAAAGATGAAATCAGAACACTGAAACAGAAAAATATTGATGAAATTTCTGAACAGGAACAGAAACATCGGGGTTTTTCGCATGTGGATATCCAGTTGCTCCAGTAGAGTTACTGAAGGTACAATCCTTTTCCAGCTAATTGCTTTTGCATTTTTGACAGAAATCAGTGATCTGTTATGTGGGTTTCTATTTGGGGACTTCATATTGCTAGGTTGTCTATCTTGATATCAATGCCATTTTGTCATGATTGGTGCAACTTTGTGATCAGTTTCGGGACTGGGGAGGCCCGGAGCTCTAATTTTGTTGCTTATTAAAGTTGTTTACACTCTTCTGGGTCTTTTGTATTTCGACAGAAATAAAAGAATCAAAATGTTAATTTTTATGAAAAATGGTGTTGGTATTTTGATAAAGAATTGTTTTCTGATCTTTATTATTTTCTTCTATTTGTTTTTGGTTTTATTCTCTTTCATTTATAATTTCTTGAGGAAAGATATCAGGATATTTCATAGTTTCCTTCCTTTCTAATGAATGTACTTGTTGTCAAAAATGTTTAAAAAGGAACAGAAACATAAAGTAACAAACAATAGTGACCCTGAGGATCTCGGTGCAGAAGTGGTAGGCGATGGACAGGATGAAGACATTTTACCTTTAACCCTTGAATAGATGGAAAATGAAGAGTACTTAAATTCTTTCTTTAAAATGTTGATTCTTATGGGAAAAGAAATCACGTCTCTGGATGGTCATGAGACTGATGGAATTCCAGGTCTCTTTCCACCTGGTAACTTTCAAGCATCGCTAGAGCGCTGGATAAATCATGGTGAAGAGGTCCTGAGACAGCTTTGAGACCACAGCTGTGGGCACATTGTTCTGTTCACAACACAGCAGAAACAGTCACCAGAGATCTGTGAGAGCTGCACTAGGGAGAAACCCTCAGGGAAGGGAGAGACTGGCAAATTCTTTTCCATCCTTACTGATGGTGCAGGGGACATCGCAGGGGGAGCATTGCCTGTCTTGGTGACTTTGCCAAGGAATCTGGTAACCTGAGAAGAGTTTGTGGGCTTCCTACCTCATGAAGCTGATGCAGAAATTTTGACTGTGAAATTTCACACAAACATCCCCAAGCTGTCTACACACCCTGTACTTCCTGAGCCCGGGGTGTGCTCCCCAAAGCCCATGCCTGAGGGCGGGAATCAGCTGCCTTAGGGACAACTGAGGAAGTTTGCTCTTTTTCCCATCAGTCTCAACTACTTTTAGAACTTGACGGTGCCATTTCTGTTCTTTTTCAGACAGTGAAGAACAGGTAAGGAACTGAAGGAACTACGCCACGCTCGGTGGACAGGCAGAGAAGATGCATTTGATGTTGGAGTGGACCTCCTGCAAGCACTGGTGTTAATGTTTACATGGTGTAAATAGTGACACAATTATTAGATGGAATAACCGTAAAGCAGGCTGAGCACTTGTAATCTGTAGAGCAGTGGCAGATTTTGATTATTTTGTTACTATTCTTGTTCTTAGAATGTCTGATCCTTTACACAGACCTCTGGGAAAAATCTCCAGGGACAAATTTCTGATGTCAGCTTTGCCGCTGCTGTACTGCTCTCACTCAGGGAAGGGTAGCAACCAACTGGATGAACCAACTGGGATGAAACTCCCTGGGAAGTTTCTTAGGGCGCAGCCAGATGACGCAGAATCTCAGCTAACCTCCAAGAGTCACCTTAAAGAAACCCTGAGTGTCCAACAGTGGAGCACATTGTTCCAGACCAGCATCTCAAAGCTCTTAAGCGCTTATCTCTGGTACCCTCAGTCATGGGACAGCTGGCATTCAACACATCAGAGCAGCACCATGCTAACACCTATAGAAAGAAGGGACTTCCCGGTCCTGCACTCTCAGCTGAGCTTCCGGTTGGAGAATCAAATGGAAGCCCAGAGGAAGACACAAAACCTCCACCTCCCATTCACGAAGCTCTCTCTTTGCCTGACTTGGTTTTCTCCTGATGTGTACACCTTGTTGAATGTCCTGAGCCTTCATCCCGTGCTGAAAGCTGAGAGCCTCAGAGCAGCCCTGGCAACACTTTGACAGACAAAGATAAAGTAGGGTGGCTTTGCTTAACATAATTTTGATATAAAACATGCTCCAGATTTAATGGTGAGCCCATCAAATCAAACTATACACAAGTAAATCAGAGTTTCCTAGGAAGAATTTAGAGACTGCTGAAAATGACCAAGAAATGTTTAAAACAGCCTTTCTCTCATGTTTGCTATTCGTAAGGAAAACCATCAGGGGTGTGTAGCCAGCTGGTCACTGAGTAGGTGAGCCTCTAGGCCTGGGGCTGACTGTGTCAGCCACTGACAATCTCCGCATTCCAATGGCCCCTCTGAACTCTGCTGAGAGCCCTGGCAGTGCCCACTTTACTTCAGGGTGCCCTCTGCTGGTGGCACTGTGGAACTGTCTCAGTTAAGACATTTTAGACAACACTGTATTGAGTTGTCAGTTTTTGAAGAAATGAATTTTGAGGTGATGTGGGAGAAAGGTATACATTTTATGACATGGTACGGTGAAGCCCATCACCGGCCTGTGACGAGAAGGGGTTTTCAGTGTGTTATTAACAATCCATAGTGGACGGCGAAGGGCATCCCTAGAGAGGAGTTTATGAGCTCGCCAGCTCTCAGGGCAGATTTTGTCTTTACGAAGTGAAGCTGAACGGAAAAGCCACCATATTCTGCATCTGGCTGCTGGGGTACACTCCTCCGCTGCACCCACATCTTCTAAACTGCTCCCCAGGGGAATGCTGACCTCCCAGTCCAGATGGAGCCTGAGGCTGTCACCCGGGCAAGGGACTTGTTCATTTTCTTCTGTTTTTTTCCGTGACCCTCCTGCCTTGCCTTGATTTAGAAGCAAAACCTGGAAAACCTACAAAGTGAGTGTGTTGTGGTCTATCTAGAAATATACAGAAAATAGTGCTGTTATTTTTGGTGAAGGAAATTTTGTATAGTTTATTTCAATCTAAATGAAATGTGAATTTTTTTAAAAGGAACCTCTGGCTGTGTTGGAAAAGCTGCTTTTCCCGGGGCTCTGAAGTCCACACCACAGAGGAGGCAGCCGAGGACACAGGGTGTTGAGCCCCTCTGCTCCAGAGCAACGGAGCTGCCAGCCCTGCAGGTCAGACAGTCCTGTTAACCGGCAAAATTACGGCCTTGGTTTGGACTTCCCAGGTTTTCACCTCCAGTGTGCCCACCTCTTCCTGCTCCCCACAAATCTGTAAAACCCCAATAAATGCGGCTATCGGGAAGCATTCTTATCCTACTCCCACAGAGTCTTTGCTCCTGAGAGAGTTTTTTCCTGCCTGGACTCCCCAGGAGCTGAATTCCTTCGTCTCTCTTTAAGACTCTACTGCACACTCATGTTAGGATGCTCTCGGGGCCTGATCAGTTGACAGCTTTTCAGTGATGCCTTCTTACACACAAGAGCAAGCGCCCTCTCCCTCTCTGTGAGCCTTTCCCAGCTGCTCTCACTCCGCAGACCGCACCCCTTTTCCCTCTTCCCCAGCTGCACCTTTGCTGCCTTCTCTGTGCGGCTTTTCCAGTTCATTGGTGGACACCAGCAGCCTGGAAAGAAGCCGCTGGGCCTCCCCGCCTGGGAACACGCACGTTGGTCCCAGCTGATCTCTCCCAGGGGCAGCATGCCCTCCTCTGACAGGAGGAGCGGGCATCTCAGCCCGGAAGGAGCCTAGGTGTCTCTGATTTTGGTTTCAGCGTAATACTTTCTTGTAGGAAGGATTTTGAAAGTATTGCTTCCCTTCATTTTATCAAAGAGTTTCAGCATGAGTGGCATTAGTTCTGCTCTAAATTTCTTGTAGAATTCAACAAGGCTTTTCTTTGTTGGTAAGTTTTTAATAATGTTTTCAGTTTCATTGACTGATGTCAGGTTATTTAGCATTTTTATATCCTCTTGATTACTTTTGGCAATCCTTCTGCGTCTAGGAATCGGTTCATTTGCTCTGTGTTTTCCATCTTACTGGTGTCCAAGTTCTCTGAGTAGGGACTGATGATGTTCCTCAGTGTCCAGCGCCAGTGGCTGGGAAGGAAATCAAGGTGCCTGTCCCTGTTGTCTTCTGGTCTCACAGTTTACAAAGTGTTTTTTCTCAAGTACTTCATAACATAATCCTTTGCAAGGAACTTGCTGTTGTTGTGGGTTTGTTTGGGGTTTTTATTTTTCTGAGCAAGGATCTGGCTAAGTAGCCAGGCTGGACTCAAACTCCTGTTGATGCTCCTGCCCCACCTCCTGAGTGCTGGGGTTACAGGCATGCACCTCCACACTCAGCTTTAATTGAGTAGTGCATCCAGTGGAGGTGCCGCTGTTGTGTGCGTGCAGAGATCAGAGAAGGACAGGAAATGGGACAGCCAAAGGTGGGGGCCCTGCTGCCCACTTAAGATTCCAGGGGAGTGATGGGAAGGGCCAGAGAGGCTCAGCATGCAGCTGATGTAAAGCCCTGCATCTCCTGTGGGAAGGAATACACCAGAAACTGAAGAAAACCCACTGCAAAATTTATTTGAAAAAGCAGAGATTTGGGGATGGGGATTTAGTTCAGTGGTGTAAGCACCTGCCTGGCAAGCACGAGGTTGTGAGTTCAATCCCCTGTACCAAAAATAAAGAGACTGGGGGGGGGGGTGGGATTTGGCTAAAGCACTAAAAAGTAAATAAGGCTGTGAAAGAAGCAACGGTAATGCCCGCTCCATCTCCTGTGTAATCAGGACCAGTGCCAAAGGCAGATGCCTGTTAGTACCTGGATCAGTCAACAGTTTGGTAGGTATCAATCATACACCTGCTGTGGATGCTTCCTGTGCTGCGCACAAGCTTCCTTTCACTCAATAAATATAAAATATTTTATAATGCTGCGCACGGAATTTTGAGATTCTACAGTAAATGGTTGTTTTTTTCTTTAAAGTTTCACGAAAGACTTATTCAATCCCGTAGCTGTCAGCTGCTCCGCCCTTTTGACCTTATACATTCCATTGCAATGAGTTTTGCACATTTTAAAAATGTTATTAACTATTGAGGAATTTTACTTGAATACTGAATCCATATATGTATGTTAAAAATTTGTGTTAAAAAGGAAGTTAGAGTCCTCGGGAATTTTCAAGACTGTACAAGTAAGGCAATTAATTTTTCAGTAGCAATTTTCGGTGGCAGACTGTTTGCTTTATCAATTTGTTGTTGAAAGAATAGATTTTTTAAAAATGTGCAATGTTGGTTCATTCCTTCATAGTGCTAGAGTTGAGAACTGAGGCTTCAATGCATGTCTTAAATATTATCATATATGTGATATGCCCAGACGGCATATGACTTTAAGCAGAGTACAGCTACTGTTGTAAAGCTAGAAGAAGAAGAAGGAGGAGAAGAAGAAGAAGAAGAAGAAGAAGAAGAAGAAGAAGAAGAAGAAGAAGAAGAAGAAGAAGAAGAAGAAGAAGAAGAAGAAGGGGAAGGGGAAGGGGAAGGGGAAGCGGAAGGGGAAGAAATGTGATTAAGAGGGGTTCCTAAAATTGTGTCTAAGGGAGATCATATTTCAAAGGGTTATTCCCCCAGAAATTCTGTGTCTTTAAAGTAATGCCTTGACTTGACATTTGAATAGCAGCCACTACATTTCTGATTTGTGTAAAATTCCCTCTTCAATAATTTATTGGTGCTGAAATTGTTCACTAGCTGTGGTCTGACCTGGTTAATTCACTCAGATCGCATAGGACTTATTCGAGCAAACTGTATTGAGCTGCTGGTAAGTGGATTAGGCAGAACACCATCAAAAATAGTCTTAGTATATCATATTGACACATTTTCCATACCTCATCAGTTTCGTTCAAAGAACAAAGATTTAAAGTTTTAAACAAAGCTGTAAGGGTTTACACATTTGTATTTAAACATTGGTAATATAGAATATTCATCAGCTGCTCATTAAGTTAAATCGGTGAGGTTAGAAACTATTTTGTAGTCTCCCCACTGAAATTAATATGCCATTCTGTCTTTCATTAAAAACTGATAATTGATTAGAATGAAAATCAACTACTTTTTAAAGATGGTTATTAATTTTCCTTTTTACAGTTCTGGGCGCAGCATATTAACACATAACTTGCATTGTTTCTATATGTAACATGAAGGGCCAGGTTATAATTATATTATAATGGGCTTTGGCACTGTTGTTTCTTTTCCTTTGAAATGTGAACATCTGAATGAGGGTTTGGATTTTGAATGTTACAATGTTTTTGAGAGGCTTTGCTTACATTTTATGGTGGCGTCATGGAAAATGGTATATATATTATATGTGTGTGTGTGTGTGTGTGTGTGTGTGTGTGTGTATTACATAGTCTCCTTTATTTCAGTTACCAGGATTTGACAAGAATTGTTATGACTGACAGGTTTTCAAATCCTAATTAAAACTTCATTTATGACAGTGTTCATAATTAGCCTGAAATGCATTCTATAGTAATTTTCCCGAGTTTCTGGAATTTTTAAAAAACTTTTTGTGTGTGTAGCAGCCTACATATCTGAAGTTACTTGAACGCACCACTTTTAAGAAAGCTTACGATTGGGCCATATTCCACCCCATCCTCTGTAACTCCTCTTGGACATTTTTGCCATAATTATAAAAGGGTAGTGAATAAATAGCATCAGCATTTAAAAAGAGAGGAAGAAGAATAAGAGACGTGATTAACAGCAGTTCTTAAAAGTGTGTCTAAGAGAGATGACAGGTATTTTAAGTGTCACTTTAATATTCAAAATATAGGCACAGAGATTTAGCTCAGGGGCTCAAGCACTTACCCGGTAACAGCAAAGTCATGAGTTCAATCCCTGGAACTAAAATATATATGCTTATAAGAAGAATCTTGATTAATCATGAAATATGGAAATTACACAATTTGTAGCCAGGCATGGTAACACACACCTACAATCCCCACATTCTGTGAGGCTCAGGCAGGAGGATCCAAAACTCAAACCAGTCTGTACAATTGAGGGACTGACAAGACCCTGTCTCAAAATAAAAATGACTGAGGATGTAGCTCGGTGTGAGGGTTTTGGCTTCCTTCTCTACTACTGGATAAGAAATTATGCCAGCTTTAGTATCTGAAATCAGTGTGTTAAACTTCAGATCGACACAGCTACAAGCAAAATACCAATTGATCGGCCTGCAGATCAACCTATCGAGAACTCCTGAAGGAGGAAACGGGGATTAAATAAAAGACATGGGGGAGACAAAGAGAGACGAAAGCAAGAAGAAATAATCCTATCAAGCTTCCAGTTTATTTAGGAAATGATCACACCTTTTATAGGCTAAGGGCGGGAGCTGGGACAGGAAGAGGTTAAAGAGATGAATACAAAAGGGTCACCATCACTTCTGGATATGTGACGTAAGCAGGAGAGGATTATGGTTAATGTAGGCAGACGCAGTGCCCATAGGAGAGAGAGAGAGACATGGAGGCAGCAATGCCTGTCACTCGGCTCCCTACAACCAATAACAAGGAGACGATGCTATCAGCCATTACTGAAAACACTTTTCTAAGCCAGGCTTGGTAGCGGATTCCCATAATGCCAGCAAGCTGCAAGGCTGAGGCAGGTGGATCCAAAGTTCAAGCTCAACCTGGTAATTTAGGGAGACCTCTGACAAAATAAACAATTTTTACAAGGTTTGGAAATGAAAGAATCTTGCCCTAGGCCGGACACTGTAGCTGGGAGGAGGCTTGGAGGGGGAACCAGGAGGCTCTCTCTTCCCTGCCCCTAGGAATTTACCTGTGGCACGAAATGAATACCAATGGGCTACCTGCGCATCTCTAATGCCCCTCAGGCACCACCCCAGACCTAAGCTATGGCCCCACACCAGGTGTCTGGCAGAGACCATGCCAGACCCCGGAGGGTCAGGGGGTCTCTCCCTGCATCCTTAAAATAAAGGTCATTTATATTCCATGCTTCTTTCCAATTCTATCAGGAAATGCAGCTCCGTGTGAAGGTGCTGCTCAGTCTCCACCAGAGAAGAACATTCGTGATCCCGTTAAGTCATTCCTGTGAGTGCGATCACAGTGTGACCCTCTCGGGCACTGCTTCTGAGTAGACACTTGTACTTCCCGCATTCCAACATCACACAATTGATTGTGTGGGCATCAGCCGTCAGGTGTCCCACAGCCTCAGGTCCAGCCCCGGATGGATTAGTGAAAATGTTTTCAGCACTGACTGTCTGCACGCTCGTGAGCTCCCACCATTCTACCTGGCACTGAGTCATAAACCACCCAGACTCCGGCCAAACCTGAATCCTTCGCTAGCCTGCCTGTC